CTATGCCGCGTTTGTCCTCACAAAGTTTCGACATGGGAGGAATCGAACCTGTGCCCTCTCGGAGGGTTTAGACACTAGCTCCAGCGCCTTCAAAGAAGGCCTTTCTTAGCCGCGGCCTAGGGGGAGTGGGGATGGCTGGTAACCAGCGCTGCACGTGGTTCGCGAGCCCCCGCTGCTGTGTGGCCCTTCGTCTCCCTGCTCCCACGGCGTCGGGCTGTGCGCCGGCGCGTCTCGACCCAACCACCCCCACCACCGCAACCACCACACCACCACCAGCACATGCACACCAGGCACACGCCTGCACACACACACCCATCCTCCCTCTCCAGGTGGAGTCTGTGGAGGAGATGAAGCGGCGGGAGGCATACGAGCGCAGCCAGGCGCTGCGGCGCATCGAGGAGGACACGGCGCGCACCCGGGCCCTGCAGGAGCAGCGGCGCCAGCTGCAGGGCCAGCGCCGCATGGCCAACATGAACGCCTCGCTGCAGCGCCAGCAGATTGTGCAGGTGGGCTAAGCGCGCTCGGCTGTGCTGGGCTGGCGGGGGAGGTGAAAGAGTGCAGGGGCTGGTACGTGGCTGGCCGGCCCAGAACGATGCCGAGCACAGAGGGGTTGGGAGAGGGAGAGACGTGATCACTGGGTCTCAAGCCCACCACCTGCTGGCTTTCCTTGTCAGCTAAAGTTCGGCAGGGTGTCCTTTGCCCGTTGATGCTTGCCTTTGCCTTGCCTTGCCCCTTTACCGCTACTGCTGCTGCTGCTGCTGCCCGCGTCCTGGCCACCCCGATGCTCCCGCTGCCGAGCAGGCCATGGAGAAGCTGGCGGCTACCAAGTCCTGGGCCGAGATGAGCGGCCCCAATGGCGGCGTCAGCATGGACGCGCTGCTCAACAAGAAGTGACGAGGCGGGGTGGCGCTCGGTGCCTCCCAATGGCGGCGACCAGCCCCTGCAACCACCTGGCACCGACTGGCGGCTGCGGACGCGGCTGGCAGCCACGGCGAGGCAGCCGTGCCAATCTGCAGGCAGCACTTGATTAATCAAAATCGTGACGGGACTCTTACTTACTCTCTGTTTCGCCTATCACCGGGGCCGGGGATCGCGGCAGGGATGCATGGCTGGTTTTGACACACCTGGCTGGGCTGGATTTGATGCGGCGCACACACTGGTCCTTTGCGGAGGGGAAGCTGGCGTGGGCTGCTACACATGTAAGGAAATCATCCAGGATGTTAGCACCCCCGTAGTGGCCCCGCCGCCGGCCCACATCCATCCGGCCGCCGCCGACATTTGGGCAGATGGCCCGCGCTTGCAGCCGGCGGCACTCCTGCTGTAGCTCTTGCCAGGTCCGCATCAAGAGTGGTGCTTACATCGATATTGCTCCCGGCAGGCGACAGAAGTGCGGCAGAGGAGAACACACTCGGTCCTTGCTTAGTACGATTCAAGGGGAGTTGGGTTTAGAAAGTTGTTCAGGTGTGTAGTTGCAGGCAGGTTCAAGTCGTATTCACGGATAGAGTGCGGCACACAAGCCCGCAAGCCATCCGCCTAACAGAAGCGCATGCAGGCGTGATGCGGTCATGGCTGGAAGGGTATCAGGAGAAAAGGCGCAAGGAGAGGAGTCACAGGTGGTATCGGCACAGGGTCACAAGGGAAGGAGTGACAAAGGGAACGATGCGTTCAGGGGTTCAGAGGGGGAGGCCAAATGCAAAAAAGTGTTGCGGCAGAGTCGCCACGAGGGTGCGGGACGCTGCGCGGGCAAAAGAGGGTGCAGCACCGGGAATGGCCTGGCTGCCAGAATCGCTTGCGCTCATTCGTTTTCATACTACTCACGCCGCGGCGCCTTGCCGGCGCCGTGTTCACTGCCCGCAGGGAACCCTTTGTTCATATTTCGCAGAGAAGCCTGTGATCTTATTTGGCAGCCTGCTGCCGGCTGCCTGCTGCCGCCTAATGGTACCGGCAACTGGGCACGGCGCTGCCTGCTGGCGCAGCGCGCGTGCCCGCCACCTCAGCGGGCGCCACGCCGCGGCCGGCGCCGCCGTGGCCGGCTGTCGTGCCAGCCCACGCTGAACTGCATCTGCTCCAGGGGTGGGGCCAGGGGCCAGGCCGTTCCACTGCCAGCAGCCTGCTGCTGCGGCTGCTGCGCCTGCGCCGCACCAGCGGCACGCTCTGCCGCCGCCTGCAGCCGCGTGGTGGGGTGGCGGCGGCGAGGCGGCGCGGCGCCCGCTGCGGCAGCAGCAAGCGCAGGCTCCTGCTGCTGCGCCGGCGGGTGCCAGGGCAGCGTGGCGGGCGAAGACTGCAGGCCCCACAGCAGCTGGTGCAGAGGGTCGGCCTGCTGCGTCTGCTGTGCCTGCTGCGCCTGCTGCGCCTGGGGCTGCTGCTGCGCGGTCGGCATTGGCGGGGCCTGCTGCCGCTGGGCCACCGGTTCCTGCCCATTCTGCTCCCTGAACCACTGCTCCCACCACCGCCGGCATGACCAGGTCGGGTTCGTGAAGCGCGCCCGCCTGGCGGCCCGCCGCCGCCGCCGCCTCTCCCTCCCGAGCGCGCTTCCACGCCGCCAGGGCCTCGCGCTGCTCCGCCACCTCCGCGCGCCGCTTCTTGACGCGCTGCGGCAGGGGGAGGGAGGGGGAGGGAGCCCTTGCACAGCCGGCGCCGCGAGCCGGCAGGCAGGGTGGCCCATCAGGCTGGCTGGCGCTGGGCGCCAACTCTTGAGCCCGACAGGCGGGCCCTGGCGGCAACGGCGCGGGCGCAGGCAGGCGTGGGGGAAGCGGGCAGCCATGCCCCGGCGTGCTAGGGTTCCCACAGGGTTCGCGCGTCCAACCCTCCCTCCCTGGCTCTGTCCCCTCCCCTGCGGCCTCCCCTGCCTCCCCTGCCGCCTCACCTGCGGGAAGCTGGCCTCGAGCGTGTGCTGCAGGCGGCGGCACACGCCGGGCAGCTCGGCGCCCAGCTGGCTGCGGCACGTGGGGCACGACTGCTTGCCCTGCACCACCGCCCAGCGCTGGAAGCAGTGCTCGCAAAAGTCGTGGCCGCAGGGAGAGACCACAGGGTCCTGCAGGCGCACGGCAGGGCAGGGGGCAGGCGGTACCGGGCAGCAGCGTTAAGACGTGTGAGGGCTTGGGGCCGGGGGTCGGGCGTGTGGCGACCGGCGGCGTGCGCCTGGCGGCAGCGGCCGGCCCCGCGTGGCATGTGATGCATGCAAGGCAGCGCGCGCGAGCGTGCTGTGGGCATGCTGCCGTGCAGTTGCGGGCGGGGCGGGGCGCGGCGCAGCTGCGGTGCCCGCGCTGCGATGCAAAGTGCTCGGGTGGCTGGCAGGAAAAAAACCGCTGGTGCGAGGGAAGCACCCGCCCGCCGGTGGTGTTGTGGGGCTGGCCTCACCAGGAGCAGGTCCCAGCACACGGCGCAGGTAAAGTCCTCCTCGCTCAGGCCCTGCCCTTGCCGCCGCCTGGCGGCGCTGCCGCCGTCCGCGGGGTCTGCGCGGGCACGCCTGGGTGCGGCGCTCGCCACGGCGGCCCCGCGTGGCGCGGGAACGGCGGCGGCAGCGGCCGCCGGCGAGGCGGCCTTTGCCCGCCGGCAGGCGGTCTCTGGCGCCGCCCCGGCCTCATCCTGGCTGCTCTGGCGGCTGCTGCTCCTGGTTCTGGCTCTCGGGGGGATCATGGCTTGGGGTGTGCCCGCTCCCGGCGTAGTATGCTGCTCCAGGCACAGCGCCTACATCACTTGCGACACGACCATGTGGTGTAGGAGTGAGCGATGGGCGATCACAGGCGGGGTTGAGACCGCGGCCCCCATGTATGTATGAGGCCGGCAGCAGAGCAGCACGGGCATCTGGATTGTGCACTGTACACGTCCAATTTGAGCGACCAGCGCGTCAACCGCCCTTGGTTACGATTGGTGGGCAGACGCGCAGCGCTTGCAGTAGCTTGTTCGGTCCCATCGCATGTCTCCCATGCCTCTCCTCCCTTGGTATGGGCTCGCCTCAGCCTCTGTGCGGTTCAAAGAGAGAGTGTGTGTAGGCCACAGTGATCGCCTGCAGCGAGTTTGGTGGGATGCCCTGCCGCCGGTGCTGCCGCCGCCTGTTGAGCAGTTGGCGCCGCTACGTAATTGGAGCAGCGGGCGCCTGAGCATTTCAGCAGCTGCAGGTCTACAATGTTATGCAGAGGAGAGCCGCCAAATCCTACCCTGATGGCAGACGGTACAGACTGGTAAAATAGGCATAGAGTGCAGAGCGCCGAACCACTGCCAACAGAAGCGGAGCGGAACGAAAGGAAACAACATGGTGAGCGCCCAGGAGGATCGGTGAGCTTCACCCACATGCTAGATTCACCCAATTATGTTAGATTCATGGGCAGCGATATGATTAATGAGCATGTCTGGGCGGCAACGCTGCGCTTCCATGCCACCCACACGTCAGCTGGCACTGGACTGGATACAGTGTAAAGTAGCAGCTGGCAAATGCGGGACCGCTGCGCAGCCCAGCACACAGTGGTGAGCATGTCCGCGCGGTAAGAGCGTTGAGACACGCCCAAGCGCACCAGCTGCTGCGCCGGCCCGTAGCGCCGCAGGAGCGAGGCGGGAGGGTGAAGGTGGCGGCTGGCGTCGCACCCCCACGCGCAGCACACTGCACCCACATTTACCCGGTGTTGAGCGCACCGCTCAGGGTCAACAGGAGGACCGCCAGCTCGTCGGGGAACGATTCCACAGGGGACATGGCTGCGGTTTCAACTCTGCCCGCTCAGAGGGCTTGGCGTGGCTGCTCATACTGCTATCTATTGCTGAAATCCACCAAATGAAACCAAACAAGAGGAAAAGTCTTGCACCTGCGCTGCCTGCGGTGACAGCACACCGATTGATGCCGCTGGCAATCCCAGCTGCTTGTCGGATTGCTTGAAATTGCCTGTAGAAGGCAGCCAACATGGTGCCGGCACCACTTCTCGGCAGCAGGCTTCACCGACTGGCGGTGTTCTGCACGCTCAGCATGTGGATCTTCGGCTTAATTGCAGGTGGGTGTGGTCGCAGCAAGTCCCAGGAACCTCCTTCTGGCGCCGGGTTGGCGCGAGCAGCGGGAGTGGCGACCCACCCTGCCGCCAGTCTGCCCGGCTCGCCGTGCAACGTCCCTTGCTGCTGCTGCCTGGGCAATGCAGTGAGCCTCTGGTGGATACAAGACTTGCTGCTGCTGCCGCGCCCCATCGCCTTTGTGGGGCTGGCCATCAAGGTAAGCACAACACCGGCCTGCGCTCCATGCGTCTCCCTCGTGTCCGCCTGGCACCAGGTCTCAGTCTGCCTGTTGGGCGCTGTCGCCGGGCTGCACGTCGTTTTGGCTCAGAACCGCTGCCTGCAATTCCCCATTTGCATTTGATTTTTGCCAGTCAGTGACCTGTGTCCTCAGCGGCCCCTGGTCCTGCCCTCCCGCCCCGCCGCAGCTGGTGGCGCTCGCGCTGCCGCTCACCCTGCCGCCGCCTGCGCCCATCAGGCGCTTCCTGCGCTTCTCAATGGTGGCGGCCGGGGAGTACTTCCCTGTCAAAATTGTGTGGGAAGGCGATGCAGACGACTACAGCAAGGGGCCATACGTGATCGGTGAGGCCTGCTGGATGGGCGGCTGGGGAGCGGCTTGGCTGGGTGGCAACATCGGGTCCTGGCCTCCGTTGTGGTGCCCCGTGGGGGGGAAGCCAGGCTGGGCAGGCAGCGCCACCGCTGAGGGCCACTTGCTGCCCTGGTTGTGGCTCATGCCTGCATTTGCGCCCCCCAAACAGTCAGTCACACCTCTCCAACCACCACACCCTCCAACCATCACGCCCCTCCAACAACTGCCCAGGCACCCACCACCACTCCCCCGCCGCCGCCGCCGCCGCCCGCAGGCTACGAGCCGCACTCGGTGCTGCCGCAGGGCATCTGCATCTTCTGCCGCTACGCCTCGGACGCGTGCCTGATCAAGAACACCCGTATCCTCGTCTCCTCGGCAGGCTTCTGGGCCCGTGAGTGACAGTCTTCCCAGCCATGCCGACAGCAGTGCTGCGGCAGATGGCGGCGCCTCTCCAGCAGCCGTTCAGCGCTGCTGCCGGCGGCCGGCGGCCCGAGCCGAGTGTTGACCCCTCTTGCCGCGCCTGCCGTGCGCTGCAGCCTTCATGCGGCACCTGTGGTGGTGGCTGGGCTGCCGCCCCGTGTCGCGCCACTGCTTCCAGGCGCTGCTGCGGAAGGGCAGGTGGGCGGCGGGTGTGCAGGGGAGGCACCTGCCTGGAAGCGACAGCCGAGCCCGGAGGGTCCCTCTGCACGCTGGGCCCGCCCTGCGCGTGCCCGCTACGCTGCACACGTGTGCCTGCCCTCTTGGCCACCCCACTCTGCTCTCCTGCGCCTGCGCCTGCGCCTTTGTGCCTGCCCAGGTCTGTGGCTGTGTGTCCAGGAGGGGTAAAGGAGTGCATCTATATGGAGCGGCAGCCGGGGAGGGAATGTGCGTACCTCCGCAAGCGCCATGGCTTTGTCAGGCGCGCTGGCCCCGGGGAGGCGGCAGCCACGTCGGCACTGTTGCCGCGCTGCGTGGCAGCCAGCTCGGCTCTGGCGCCGCCTGCTGCTGCACCTGCTGCTGCTGCTGCTCTGGCACCGCGTGCTGCCTTCCCGCCCGCCTGCTGCCTGCCTGCTCAGTGTTCGCCTGCATGCAAGCTGGGCCCCGGCAGGCTGCCAAGCCGCCTGCTGCGCACGCTGGCGATGCAGGCTGGCGCTGGAGGCTGGCGCGCCCCTGGTGCCGGTATTCGCCTTTGGACAGGTGGGCGGGCCATGGTTTGTGCCTAAGAGGAGGCAGAGGCGGCTCCCCTGTGCGAGCTCCAGCCATCAGTGGTTGAGCGGCAGCCTGCAAGCGCAGCATCCAGCCTGGATACCAGGCTGTACTCGGGAGGACATGCTCGTGGCCGCTGTCAGGCGCTGCCACCTTGCCTGCACCCTGCTGCAGACCCAGCTCTACGACTACTGCCGCCTCTTCTTCGACTGGCCCCGCAACCTGGTGAGCGGCCTGGCTGGCCTGGCTGGCCGGCCTGGCTGGCTGCTGCTGCGCCGCTGGGCAGGAGCTGGGGGGGTGCTGGCGAGAGGTCATCCAGCAGCAGCCGATGGCAGGAGCTGCCGGAGTGGCGGCGCAGATCAGGTAGCTCAGGGCGCGGGCTCGGGAGATGGCTGCACCGCGCGGCCAGCCTGCCGACTGCTGGGGCGTGGGGTTGTGTGGATCCAGCTGCCAGGACTTGCCACTCATTATTGGCGGCGCTCTGCTGTCCGCCGCTGCAGGTGCCGCGGGCGCAGTGGGGCAGCTTTGTGCGGCGGATCGGCTATGTGCCGATGCTGGTGAGCGCGTGGGCTGCTCAAAGGAAGAAAGAACGGAATGCAGCAAGAGAGCTCGCATCGCTTGCTGGCTGCACTGTGCGACAGCCCGATGACATGCTGCCCGCTGTGTTTGCTGTGCTCTCCTGGCGGTGCCTGCAGGTGTGGGGTTGGTGTGGGTCCTTCATGCCCAGGCAGGTGCCCATGTGCATAGTGGTGGGCAGGCCCATCCCGGTGCCCAGGATAGAGCACCCCACGCATGAGCAGGTGCGGATCACGGGGCCCCAGCCCCGCGCTCGCCAGCGGTGCAGCAGCCAGCCTGCCATAGCTGCCCAGCGACGGCCGCAGCTCCCCCGTCCTCCTCCCCCCTGCCTCTTCGCATCCCTCCCTGCAAGCTGCTTCCCCGCATTTGCTTGCTCGCTGCCTCATGGCATTGCTCCTCTCACCGCCCTGTTTCAAGCCTCTTTCCCCAAACCTGGTTGCTGACCGCTTGGCGGTCCCCTGCAGACGGACAAGTACCTGCAGCTGTTTATCGCCGAGATGGAGCGGCTGTTCAGGGAGCACAAGGAGGCGGCGGGGCACGGCCACGCCACGCTGACCATCTACTAGGCACCGAAGGAGCTGGGGCCTGCCGGCGCGGGGAGCGGCATAAGCCGCTGCCAGTAGCAGCAGGCAGCAGCAGCAGCACACCCGGGTGCAGCCAGGCAGTCACCGAACCAAAGCAATGGCAGCGCTCGGAAGCAGCAGCAGCATCCCTGTGCACAGCGATGTACCACCAACGTCAATCTTCTTTGATTAATTTGCTTAATTTCTTGGCTTCCCTGATTACATGCTTTTGTACAGACATCTCCTTCTATACACGAGAGTGCCCTTATTGCAGCATACTCCACCATCATGGCTCAAGGACTAAAGCGGATGGGGAACAGAAGTGTGCCCTGCAAGGCGGCAGCTAGCAGGCCAAAAACGGAGGTGAAAAGTGAGCGCAGCGATGTGCGCGGTTCTCAAGGCTGCGCCAGCACCAGCGCCAGGATGCGCTGGCTCAGCTCGGCTGGCAGCATAAACACAGCCCCAGGCCCCGCCGCCGCCCTGGCCACGCTCAGGGCCGCGGTGCGCAGCCGCTCACGCTGCTCCTGCCCCAGCCGCGCCACCAGCCAGCCCGCCTCTGACTCGGAGCGAGCCAGGACGGCTGGCAGCGCGCGCGCCAGGTCGGGCAGTGCGCTAGCACCAGCTGCCACTCCTGCTGCGTGAGCGCCAGGCGGGAGACCAGGCCGGCGTAGAGGCTGGCAGCCCGCTGTCCCTTGCCGGCAAGGGTGCCCAGCGTTGGCTGCACCGACGGCACCGCCTGTACCAAGCAGCGGGCGGCCTCCACATCTTCACACACCTCATTTGTATCGAGCGCCCAGTGGAGCGCGGTTCTGCCACGTTCGTCCACTGCTGCGATGGTGGCTGGCGCCGCCTCCAGCAGCAGCGGCAGCAAGCCCACATGCCCGCGCCTTGCCGCTGCATGGAGCAGCCGGCCGTCTTTGACAGCATCGTCGACTGCAAAGCCAGCAGCCAGCAGGTCCCGTACCGCATGCTCGTTGCCCGCATTGACAGCGAGGAAAAGTCGCAACCTGTTTGCAGTTTGTTTTTTTACATCCATGCCTGCAAGCCATATTTGCGAAAGAAGTGATTACCCTTCAGTCTCTGATCTGTGTGGGGGAGGGGATGGGGCTGGGGATGTGGAGGGTGGAAGAGGGTGGAAGAGGCTCCTCAGGAATTCCAGGCCGAAGCGAGCACACCAGTGAAGCGGCGGCGGCGCCAACCAGGCGGGGCTCTCACACAACCTCGCCTGGACTTGCGGCCATGCGCACCTGCCTCGGCACGAGTCGGGTGTGTGCAGCAAGGACACGATTGGGGCTGGACCGGGCTGCAGTGGACGAGCGGATGGCGGACGACAGGCCCACAGCGCTCGAGGCCTCGATAGCTGGCGTGTGACGGATACCGACGCCCCTGGATCCACCAGAATGTCGCTACCATCGCACCCTGCACCGCCGCTGCTGTGCCACGTCACAGCGGCGAGGCGCCGCGCCACGCCCAACATGGACCTCATGCCTTTTGCAATCTCCCGCCCCTGCCCCTGCCCCTGCCCCACCACCCGCAGCCCCACAATCCCACGGTTCTGCCGTTCTGTTGCCGTGGCCTGTTCACCTGTGATGGCCGGCAATCCACCGGGGCGCTGGCGCCTACCAGCGCTGCTTCAAGCTGGAGGTGCACGGGCGCCGTGCAGGGCGGGATACAGCTAGGCTTGCAGGGGCGGAAGCAATTCAATCAAACGGCTGCCATGCAGGCATGCAGGGGAGGTGGTCAGCGTGCGATTGGCCAGGGCAGCCATCTCACGAAACCGCCAGCGCCGGTGCCGGGGTGCGCTCTGCTGGCACCGCGCGCTCTGCTGGCACCACCGGCAGCGGCGTCAGCCCTGCAGCCACCCTGGCCAGGCTGGACCGTGGTGTGCACCACGCCCGGCGCTGCTCCAGCTCACACCGCCGAGCCATACAGCCGCATCTCTTCCTCCACCGCAGCAGCAAAGGTGAGGCTGCTGCCCGGGTCCAGCCCCCGAGCCTCCAGATCCCTCAGAGCCGCCGCCGCCGGCTTGCCGCCGCCCCGCGACTCGTGCACCGACCGCCACGCTTTCCAGAGCGCGTGCGGCGGGTTGCGCCGCGCGGGCTGCGCCGCGGTGTAAGGGCTGGCCTGCACCGGCAGCGTGCCATTACTGCCTCCATCGCCGCTGCCGCTGCTGTTACTGCCGGGGAAGGCAAAGGGCTTGAACACGCCGCGCCGTGGGTCTGGGGTGGCCGTGAACCAGTGCTGCGCGGCAGGCGGCCCGCCCGCGCCGCTGCCGCCTGGCTTTGTCAGGCGGCTGACCTGCAGGGAAGCCGAGCAGGCACACCACACGCGAGCAGAGCCAGCGCTCAGGCAGCTAGGGCGAGGGAGGGCCCGGCATCAGGAGCCAGCAGTGCCGGCGGCTGCCTGGCCCCACCCACCCACACCAGCATGCCAGCCAACGCCCGCCCAGCCCGCACCTGCGAGCCATTGCTCCTGAAGCCGCCATCACACATACAGATGCCGCTGCCTTCGTCCCGCAGGATACGCATCATGGCGGCGGGGCACAGCTGCCCAGCCGCAGCCTGCAGCAGCCTGCAAGGCAGAGGGAGGGCGCAGCAGGCCTGGGGCAGGCAGATCTGGCGGGGTGGACAGGCTGCCACGCCTGCCGCACATGCACCTTAGCAACAGGCCTGCGCCACTGCCGCCGCTGGTGCGACGGAGTGCCGCCCCGCCCGGCCAGGCGTCCCATGAGCCCGCAGCCCGCAGCCCTGGCCCCACCACAGGCCCTGGCCCCACCTGTGCCCCTCCGCCTCCCGTCCCGGGCTCAGCGTGCCCAGCGGCGGCGCGCCGCCGTCCGAAAACGCCGCCGCAAAGTCAAACTGGCCCCGCCCGTCCCACCGCGCGCTGCGCCGCGCGTGCTCCTGCAGCCCGCGGGAGCAGCGGTCGAAGGCGGTCCTGATCGACAGGCAGTTGCTGATGTTGCGCACGCCTGCATGGGAGCAGAAGACAGCGCAGCAGCACTGGCTTGCGGATCCACTCCCAGGTAGCCACGCCTCGGCTCCCCGGCCTGACACACACTTTCAGCTGCAGCAGCGGTGCTTGTTGCAATGGACGAAAGCAGGCGTGGCCCCACCCGCCGCCCTCCCTCGCCTTGCGTGACGCGCTGCGCGGCCCACCACCTGCCCGCCGTCTCCAGCACCCAGGCCTCGTAGGCGTCCGCCACTAGGAAGGAGTTGTGGTAGGTCCAGCTGCCTGCAGGGGAGGAGGAGGAGGGGGAGGAGGGCAGCGGGCGGCGGCGGTGGCGGCGGTGGCGGTGGCGGTTGTTGTGGTGGTGGGCGTGGGAGTGGTTGGTGGGTGGCGGGCAGCAGGTGCGACGAAAGGACTGCAGCAGCGGGCTGGCTCAAGCCCGAGGCCTGTGGTGCAACGCAGTCGACTCAACCCTGTCCCTGACCACCATTCAGCGGCCCAGCCAGCAGCCCCGCCCACCCACCTCCCTCCTCGCAGGCGCCCCCCTGCCCATGCTCCTCCAGCAGCCCAGTCATGACCTCCACCGCCGCTGCCGCGCTCCCGCCCCGCTCCAGCCCCAGCCTGCGCCAGCAAGGTCGCGGCGCGGCGCACCACCACACTGCCCATGAGTGCGTGCCGGCACAGCATGCAGAGGCAGCGCAGCAGCACACGCCGGCGATGGTGTCTGGCCAGGTGGTAAGAGCAAGGGTGATCTGGGAGGCGGTACAGGTCCGTACCGCACGAGGTCCATGCCCAGCAGCGCGGCAGGACCGTCAGAGTCCTCCACGGTCCACACCGCCTCGTTGCCGCACACCACCCCCGCCTGCGGCGGCGGCACCAGCAGTGGCGGCAGCAGCGGCTTTGCAATTGCAGCTGACAAGGGGGCTCCGGCAGGCGCAGGGGGCTGTTGCTGTCTCCCTCGCCTGCACGCTCTCGCTACCCCGCCAGCCACGCCCAGACCGTCACAACAGCCACCCCCCACCCACCCATCCACCCACCACCTCCCACGCCCACCCAGGCAGCTGCCCATAACCCTGCTTGCCTCGTTGGCCCCCATCTCAGCGCCCCACATCCAGCTCGGCTTGCTCAGCACCACGGCAAGGGTGCGGGGCGCCTGCGGGATGGCGATGTAGGTGCACCGCACCACCGACCCCGCCGGGTGCTCGCCGCCGGCGTAAGCCACCACCTCTTGCACCTCCTGCAGCGGCGGTGTCGAGGTGGGTGCAGGTGGGTGGGCCGCCACCGGCGCCAAAGCAGGGCAAGCTGGAGAGATGCGGCTGCCACGTTCAGGCCAGGCAGGGGACCGCTGCGCCTAAGCCTCCCACCTCGCGCTCCCGATCGCTGTTCTTTCCAAACACCACGCTGCCGTCGGCCGTGGCGGGCAGCAGCACCACAAACGTGTCGCAGGAGCGCGGCGGCGACGGCGACGACGGCGAGGGGCGGGGTGGCGGCGCTGCGGGCCCCGGGGCACAGGCGCGTCCGGGCGTAGACGCTGGCGACAGCAGCATGAATTTCGGAGGATCTCCCTGCAGCTGCCGCAACGGGTGGCGGAGAAGGGGAGAGGGAAACCCTGCACCCACCGCCAACGAGCCTCGGGTCTCGTCGACTGGAAGCACAAAGGCGACTGCAATAGAGCGACAGTAAAGCAGAACAACAGTGCAGGGCGGCATGGCGCCACCACGGCGCCAGGCGGGATGCCGCCACGCGGGCGTGGTGCTGCGGCCACTCCTGCTGCTGCCCAGCCTGATGCGGTGTAGTGTACTGCACTGACACCTTGCTCCCTTCCTGGCTGGCCTGTAGCACCAATACTCACCACTGACAATAGGCCCCTTGCTGCTGATGAAAGCTGGGCATATTTTCAGTTTGTGCATGATGCCCTGCTGCAGGCAGGGTCGGCACTTCGGCAGCTGGCTCCCGATTGCCTCCAAACCCCGGCATGCCCTACGCCTGCTTCTGTCCTCCGAGGTGATTTGCCTGGTTTGACAAACAGTCCGCGCCCACCGCAACTGATGTCAGGCTGCACAAGCTAATCAAAAATGTCATCCAGGCTGCACGAATCGATGCGGGGATCAATATGCAGGTCGGGCCTACTGCGCTGCGCCTCAAGGACTTGCACCATATCATCCTCTCCAATCGCCCTGGCTTCAGAAGAGACGAGATGCAGCCTCTTCAGGCGAGGTTGCTGGGCCGCCCATCGAACAATTCTGACCAGCTGCTGCGTGTCAGCATACATTACGCCAAGCGCTCCAGCTGCGGCGCCGAGGCCAGGGCGTCCAGGCTGTCAACAATCAGCTTGCTGGGCGCAACCAGGCGCTGCAGTGTGGCCAGCCAGGGTCCAGCGGGCAGGGCTGTGCCATCGGTGGTGTTGCAGCGCAGGCTGTTCAAGTGGCACAGGGTGGTCAGCGCCAGCGCAGTGTCGGTCGTGATGTCTAGCTGCAGCCGAGTGAGATGAGAGAGGTACGGCAGCTGTCGCCCAACAACTTCCATCGCCTCGTCAGCGAAATCGCCTCTGTAGTCTATCGCCAGAAAGCGCAGCTGGGTGAGGCGGGACAGGCACTCTGGCATGGGCCCACAGATGCGGCTCAAATCCAGGTGCTGCAGGCGTGTGAGCCTCGCCAGCGGCGCATACCCCTCAGCATCGAAGCACGTGAAGGACAGGGCGAAATGGCGCAGCCCAACCAGGTCTCCGATCTGCATGCGGCGCAGGCAAGTGTCACGCTTCAGGTTGGACTGACTAGAGTGGGAGGGCAGCAAGCATGCTGACATCTCTGCACACCAGGTGGGGTAAGTCTTCGACAGCGCTATCAGGGAGGAGGACGAGACGAGTGAGACGCCCGGAGGCAAGCGTCTGGGCTGATACGGGTGCCGTATTCATCGTTCACGTCCAGCTCCAGCGACTCCAGCGCTGTCAGGAAGCGCAGGGAGCCGGCAACTGCCGAACGTGTGTCGGCGGCATGTATGTTTATGCGGCGCAGGCTGCCCAGCGGCGCCAGCCAAGGACCGAGCACGAAGTGCTGAAAGTCGAGGCCGGCCAGGTGCAGCTCCGTCATGCTGGCGCAGGCTGTCAGCGAAGCGACCACCAAAGCAAGCGCCTCTGGCTCGTCGTGCTTATGTAGATCAGGGCTGCCCAGGTCTAACTTCAGCCGCAGGATAGCCGCGGCGCGCTATCCACTCGCAGAGCGACCGCAGGCGCGGAATGAAGCGCTGGCCCGACACAGATACCTCCACCAGCCTTGGCTCATGCTGGCTGACGCCTACGATGCTCTCTGGTTGGAGTCCCAGCAGCTGCAGGCTGTGCAGCAGCTGGCAGAAGAACTTGCAAACCATGGGCAGCGAGCGGTGTCTGCACAGGGGCGGCAGCAGGAGCAGAAGCGGCAAGTTGGTGGGATCGTTCCGCAGCGCTGCCGCACGCAGCTCGGTGCTATCGGTGAGTGCCGGGGCAGCCTACCTTTCCAGCAGGGAGAGCTTGTCAAAAACCAGGAGCAGCAATTCGCTGGGCAACATGTCCAGCCCTGGAGCCCTGGAGCCCATGCCGCTGGCTGCGTTTGTGAGAGAACCCAGGTGGGAGGCGAGGGAGTGGGCGCTGTGAGGTTGAGTTTTGAGTGGGTTTGAATTCAGAAAGCAAACAAGCACGCTCCGGAGCTACAACAGGGCGGCGGAAGAAGAATTATTGACGCTCAGGAAGAGATGCAATGCAGCTGCGTGTTTATTTTTCTGGCGCCAGCGGGATGCCAGGCGGGATACGGCGCCACACAAGCGGGCAGTGTCGCTGTCCTCTGCATGAGAAGCCCTGGCTCCAATGATGATGTTGGTGCTTCACAGCTCTGTAAAGAGGTCGACGCATGCGGCAGCGAATGCTGGCACCACACACGCACACTAGACCGCCTCCAAGCTGCAGAAGCACACCCCCGAGCCAGCGCTGCTGCCTTTCCGTTCCTGGTGTTGCAAGTTGCGGCATCGAGCACATGTGTTAGGCGTGCAGACAGCGAGATGCAGTGCATTGTAACGTAGCGAGGATCTGTATCAGCATAGCTACTCCTGCATGGGCTCTGGCCCCCCTGCCGCCAATGCTGCTGCTGCTGGTGCTGGCGCGAGAGCAGGAACAGCAGGCCCAGCTGCTGCTGCTGGGATCGACACTGCCGCCGGAGCCGGCGCCTGCTGCTGCTGCTGCTGGGTCGCGGCCGCTGGCGCCGCCTGCGCGGCCTGCTGCCCGGCGGCTGCCGCGGCCACCTGGCGCTGCTGCAGCTGCTGCATGGCCGCCGCCACCTGCGCCACCACGGCCACCTGCGCCGCCGCCTGCGCCTGCAGCGTCTGGTGGTGGCGCACCTCGGAGCAGCGGGGGCAGTGGTACAGGCGGCCCCGCCCCTTGCTGTAGTCCTTGAAGGAGCCTGCGGGGGAGGTGTGTGAGAAAGAGAACGCGAGGATGCACTGCGTCGGTGTGGCGGCGTGGGGAGAAAGTTGTGGCCCGAGTAGAGACGCAGGAGCAGCGGCAGCCACAGCAGTGGGCCACGCAACCCTCCCGAGCCCCAGCTCCCTGCACCGCACTCCTTCCCCCGGTGCCGCCAACACGCCGCCAGCCACAGGCACCAGCAACCCCTTCAGGCGGCCGCACCCCCGCCCCCCGCAAAACACACACCACCAGCCAGCCCCACCACCAGTCAACCCCACCAGCAGCCAACCCCGCAAACGCCCCCCGCCTCACCCCTGCCCTGCCGCGTGTCGCAGGAGAAGTGCACCCAGCAGTCGCACATGTCGCAGGACAGCCAGTCGGCGGCGTGCTCGTCGCCGCGCCCGCAGATGCCGCAACGGTCGCCCGTCACGTCCTCGGGGTGGGCCTGCGGGGGGTGGTGGGTGGGCGTGTGTGTGTGTGGGAGGAGGGTGGTGGCCTGACATGCTGACGCTCCGGCACGACGGAGCAGCTGCCCTCCCACACGCCTCCATCTCCCTCCCGCCACCACCCTGCCGCCCAGTCCACCCCACCCCACCACAGCCGCAGCCACACGACAGGACAGCTTCCCACCCCAGCCGCATCTCCCTCCCTCCCGCCCCAGCAACAGCCTCCACCTGCTCATACTCCAGCAGGAAGACCTGGTAGTGGCGCTTGAGCGCGTTGCCCACCCCCGTCATCTTGTGGTGCGCCGTGAAGTTGCGCATGCGAGGGAAGACCTGCCCCTTCCAGTTGATGCCGTTTCCCACCTTGTAGCCGCCCCGGCTGCACACCTCCCTGCGGGGAAGAGGGCGGCGAGGGAGGCAAGCAAGGGCAGAGGCGAGGGCGGGTTGGTGGGTGGGCAGGCAGGCGGGCAGACGGGCAGGAAGGCAGGCCATCCGCGCCACAGCAGCAGCAGCAGTGAACAAGATCTGCAGGCAGCACCAAGCATGCGGCACTGGGGGCGGCACGCAAAGAGCAGTACCAGGCAGTACAATGCAGTACAGGTCGCAGCGCCGCGCCTATACAGGTGGAACAGGTCCAGCTTGCCGCCGTTCAGGATCGCCTCGGGGAAGACCTTGGGGTCGATCTGGCGGCCCTGCAGGGGTAGTGGTACAGCAGCGGTACAGGCTGATTACCACAGAGGTGAGGCTGGGCCGGCCTGCACGCGGCACTCCGTGGGCATACCACCCGCACGCCGGCTGCGGCCCGGCAGCGCGGCTGCCGCACAGGCAGCCGTGCAGGCTGGCGGCGCGGGAGGAACGAAGCGGCGCCAGCCGGGCGTGGCGCCAGCCGGGCGGCGCCAGCCTGGCAGCGCGCCCACCTGGCGTTCCGTGAGGAAAGCGATCAGGTCTGAGTAGAACTGCTCCTCGTTGCAGAAGGCCAGCGGGGGGCGCCCGCTCCTGCAGAGGGCAGGCAGCGTTTGGCGGTGTTGGCAGCAGCATGCGTTGATGGCGGCAGCAGTTTGTTTGGGGTGGTGGTGGCGGTGGTGGTGGCGGGAGGAGTGGGTTTGGGCTGGCGGGCCGGGAGCGGCGACGCAAGTGGAACGCAAACGGTTGAGCCCCCCCTGCCGGATGCAGCACTGGAAGCGGCGGGCCCCGACCACCCACAGGCATCCACCCACCCACCCCCGGCGGCACTCACTTCCATGGCTGCTGCTGCTGCAGCGTCTGCTGCTGCATGAGCTGCTGCTGCTGCAGCAGCAGGGCCAGGCCGGGCGGCGGCTTGACGTCAGCTGAGCTCTGCTCGGGCGGGCTGTCGGCACGCCCTGGCCCCGCCGCCGCCGCCGCCGCCGCCGCCCCAAAGGCGCCGCTGCCGCCGCCGCCGGCCAGGCCGCTGCCGCCGGCCAGGCCGCTGCCGGCTGGGAAGGTGCCGGAGGGGCCTGCGCTGGCCAGGCCCGCTGCTGCCGCCGCCGGGGCGGAAAAGGGTGGCGGCGCGAGCGCCGGGCCTGTGCCGCTCGCGGCGTGCGCCAGCCCCAGGCTGCCTGACGGGCCCGCCCCATTCAGCATCGGCAGCACCGCGCCATCCCTGAGCAGCGCCGAGGCGCCGCCCGCGGCCGCGGCGGCCGCCGCCGCGGCGGATCCCGGCAGGGATGGCGGCAGCGGCGGCCGCGCGCCCAGCGCCGCCAGCCCCGAATCCACAGCCATGGGGCCGCTGCCGTCCGCCGCCGGCAGGGGCGCCGCCGCGGCCGCCGCCGCCGCAGCAGCCGCCGCCGCTCCGAGCGCCACCGCCGGCTGCAGGGAGGGGGCAGCAGCCGAGGCAGCGCCTCGTCGTCAGCCTGGGCAGGGGCCCGCATCCCTGGGCGCCACCCGCACCCTGCAGGCACACCAGAGGCCCTGACCCCCCGCCTCGTCCTGCCTGCACCCCTGCACTGCCCCCTCGCCTTCACAACCCCTTTCCCCTTCCCCATAACTCCCTTCACATACCCCCCACACCCGCCCATTCGCACGAGACCGCCATCGCCCTGCCCCACCCTGCCCCACCCTGCCCTGCCCTGGTGCCCCGGTGCTTGCCCTGCCCCGGTGCTTTCCACCCACATCCGCCTTGCTCCTGTCGTTCTGTGTGGTCACCGCCTCGAGGCGCGCGGCGTCGGCGGCGCACCAGGCCGCCACCGGCATGGACGACACGGCGGCCACGCCCAGCAGCACCAGGCCGCGGTAGGCTGGATCCTGCGTGTGGGGTGGCGGGGGCAGCGCAGCGCAGGGCAGGGGAGGGCAGGGGGTGAGGCATGGCGGGGGCAGGAGAAGAGAGGCGAGGCAAGCAGGCAGGACAGCCCCGAACGGCGGGGCAAGGGATGCTACACAGCTGATGCTACACAGCTGATGCCAGGGCAGGCGGGCATCATGATCCCTGCCCGAGGGCGGCCCTCCGCAGCGCTGCCAGCTGCCAGCTGCCCGACAGCTGCCGGGGCGGTACCCTCACCTGTGCCAGCTTCTTGAGCAGCTGCACACACCAGACCGAGGTGACGGCCAGGCCCTCCACCACCGGGGCGCCGCACGCCACCTGGCACGCAGCAAGGGAAAAGGAAGGGAGAGGAGCGAAGGAAGAAAGCGCGGCGGGGGTCAGCCGGTCAGCCGGCCAGCCAGTCGCGCAAGCCAGTCAAGCTAGCCAGCCAGCAGAGCCGGGAGGGCGGGAGCGGCGTGCCCCTGCTGCCCCGCCCACCCCTCAGCCCCAGATCGAGCGAGCAGGCGGCGTGGCGGCGCACTGCCGCTTCGGCGCCAGCATGCATGCAGCGGCTGGGCGGCGCCGTGGCTTTCATGCAGGCGCGGTGGCCCTCCCCGCCTGGCGCTGACACAGGCACACGCGGCCTGGCACCCCCAGCCAGCCTGCCGCGCCCACCTGGCTGGAGGCGTGGGTGGGCGGCGGCGCCACCCCCGGTGCGGCGCCACCTTGAGCTGCAGCGTGTGCGCGTCTGCGGTCAGGGCCTGGCGCAGCGCATGCTGCACCACCTCCTGTGGCAGGGGAGGGTAGGGCAGGCAGGCAGGGGAGGGTAGGTAGGTAGGTAGGTAGGGAGGCAAGGAGGCAGGGAGGGAGGCAGGGAGGCAGGGCGGTAGGTTTGGGGTTAAGTCGCGGCTGCATCCGCCCACAGGCGGGCAGGTAGAACAAGGTTGAGCGACCTGAGCCCAAACCATGCAGCCGCTGGCCGAGCGGCTCGCCGCCACCAGAGCCGCGCAGCCTCAAACCCGTCCACCCGCACGCCACCCACCCGCAACGCCATCCACCCGCCCGCCCGCCCGCGCACCTTGTTTTTGAGTAGCTGCGCGGGCCCCCCCAGGGTGACGGTGAGGCGCGCCCCCGCCGCGCTGGCGAGCTCGCACCGCATGGCGCCGCTGCCGGGTGGCAGGTGGGAGGGCGGCTGGTCGCAGGGCGCCAGCGACAGCAGCTCAGCGGCCCGCACCTCTGCCGCCAGAAGGCCGCGCAGGGCCTCGCCAAACCACCTGCGGGCGGCGGGCACGGCGGCGGCTTCCTTTCTTCTTCACTTCCTTCCTTTCTTGCTTCCTTCCTTGAGTGTTTCTTGGCGGCGGCAGCAAAGGTGGGCGGGCGGGCGGCCACCTGGCCCCGCGCGCACGCGTGAGTGCAGCGCGCCCGGCAGCATGCGGTGCCAGCAAAGGGCAAGGGCATCTGGCCGGCCGCAACCCGCTGCACGCCCGCCGCCCTGGCTGTCCCGCCTTCCGGCCAGCCCAGCCAGTACCAGCCAGTACCAGGCAGCCAGACCAGGCCCTGCAACTGCCTGCGTCCTGCCCCAGCCCCTGCCCACCGTAGGTTGTGAGGGTTGACCATGCCAGAGTGTCCCGCCTGGAGCAGCCGCAGCTCGGCATTGGGTGCCAGCAGCCGCAGGTCTCCATACCCCGGAAAAGCCGCCGCCAGCCCTCCAGACAGATCCACGCCCGGCGCCTCCAGGGCAGGCACGCTGGCGTTGCCCGGCAGCGCCGCCGCCGCCGCTGCCGCGCGGCCGTCGGCACACAGCAGCTCGGGCAGCGGCGGCTCGGCGGGGGGCTCGCCCTCGCCGCCCGCAGCCGCCACCGTGCCGTGCGCTCGAGCCATGTGCGCTGCCAGAGCGTACGCCTGCCGGGGTGGGTAAGGTGTGTGGAGGGAGGGAGCGCCGGCGGCGGTGGTGAGCCGTGGGCAGGGGACGATGCAGGCATGCTGAGCAGGACCGCAGCGGGAGGCGGCACCGTAGCGGCAGCGTCGTCGTCGTCATCGTCGTCGTCAGCGGCAGCGGCAGGAGGAAAGCGCGGGCGACGGGAGGAAAGTACCAGGGCCGCCACCCACCTCGGGCACCGCCAGGCGCGGGTCGCGCAGCAGCCCCAGGAAGGCGTGGGCGAAGTCGGCGGCGGCGAGGACGGGCGGCGCCACGTCAGCGGGCCACGCGATGACGTGGCGCGCGCCGCCGCCGCCGCCGTCGCCGCCGCTGGCGAGCAGCCCCTGGGCCACCAGAGCGCTTCCCTGGAAGTCTAGTACGGCGGCCTCAAGGTGCATCCCAGCAAAGGCCGACTGGAAGAGCTGCACCGCAGCATCCAGCACAGCGCCTGCAGGGCCGCAGCGCAGGCAGGCAGAGGCAGGCAGAGGCAGGCAGAGAGGCGGGGGAGCGAGGTAGGCAAGGTGGCGGGGGAGGGTGGCGGCGCGTCGGACCAGGGAGGGGCAGCCGGGCGCGCAGGAGACAGCGCAGAGCGGGCAGGGCAGGCAAGCGGCGAGCGACCGTGCGGCGGCGGCGGCGGCGGCGACACCCTGCAGTTTCTTTGGGCCGCCGCGGCGGCACCCTCCTCCTCCTCCTCCAGACCAGCAGGGGGCGCACCTTGTGCGCCGTACAGGAAGGGCAGCGGCGCCACCGCCTGGTCCTGGAGGTCCTGCTTGCTGGCAGCGGTACCGCCATACACGTACACGAGGTTGGGGCGCCAGGCCTGCACCGCGGCGGGGATCTCTTCCAGCGGCGGGCAGCGCAGCACTTCCATCTGCAGAGGTGTGGGGTGAGAGGAGAGGGGCAGAGGGAGGTCGGCGGGGCGGTGGCTGGGGTGGTGGAGGGCGGTGGGTGCTCGCTTTGAAGCGCATGCAAGCTTGCCGGGTGGGAGGCTGCCTGCGAAGCTGGGCCGCGGCAGCCTGCTGCCGCGGAGCCAGGCTGGGCGCCGCTAGTCGGGCAGCGCTGCCCCACCCCGCCCCGCCGCCGCCCACCCTATCCCGCCCAGCTCGCGGCGCACCTCCACCGCGCCATCGGGGAGGTCTGCCAGCTCCGCTAGGGGCCCCAGCTCCCGCTGATCGGTTCCCAGCACCGACTCGGGAGTGGGGCCATTCAGTATGGCGAGCACCCGCAGCGGCGTGGGCCTCCCGCCGGCTTCCGCCATTGCAGGGGCCGGCAGGGGTGTGTCGGGCAGGCCACCAGGGCGCGGGGCAGCGCCGATGGTGCCGAAATGCCGGCCGCTGCAGAAGGGCTGCAGGCTGGTGCCGCTCTGCAGATGTAAATCAAACCCGAGAGTTTGTTGCAGAACGGAGCGTGCAGCTGAATGCGGCACACCAGGCGATGGGCACAGAATGGCTCGCCGGATGAAGCCGAGCATGCAGGCCTTCACACGGCATTGTGGGCCGCCTGGTTGGCCATTGGCGCTTTCAATCATTCAGTCACACTGCCAGATCGATTAGAGAGGGCCCACGCTCTCTGCCGTCAGCACCCCAGCCCTCTTGCTGCGTTGCATGGCCTGCCCTCGCCTCTGAGCGCGCTCCGCATCGCACAGATTGGCCTTGCGACTTAGACCCAATCTCCAGCAGGCGGAGCGGCGGCAGCAGGGGGCGGTATGAAGAAGCAGGACACCAAAACCTCGCCGCCCGTCAAGGTGGTGGGCTTCCGCGTGGAGGGCGCCACCCCCTCGCCTCGGGACACCAGCCTGGCCGACGCGGCAGCGGCCAGCACCGCCGCCGGCAGCCCCTCGCCCGTGATCATCCCGCCCGCCTTTGCGGTGAGCGCGCGCCCGGCACGCTGCCGCCGCTCCCAGCCTCACGCATGCGCTGCCCTACAAACTGCAGCACAGAAGGGAGCTGTCTGTCACGCTCTGCACTTGCTGAGGGCCCCCTCCTCCCCGCTCCCCTCCCCGGCAGGGCCACGGCCGGTCGGGCGGCGGCGACGCGACGCCCACCCTGCGCCCCGCCGCCACCCCACCCAGCGCCGGCTCGGCCACCTTCCAGCTTGACGACAGCGACGAGTCGTCCGTCTGCAGCCTGCCTCCCATCAGGACGGAGGCGCAGGGACTAGACCCAGACGCCTTTGCCAGGGGTGGGTCGCGGTTGCGATCGCCGGCGCGCTTTTGGGGCAGCGCATTTGGGGGCAGCCGGGGGCCTGCAGTTGGACAGCAGGGCACGGCGCGGGGCCCGACTGACGCTTTGGGCGGCGGCGGCAGGCGTGGCCGGTGCGGTGGGAGCGGCCGCCGCCGTCGGCAAGCCTTGGATCAACCCGCTCTTTGGCTGATCGAGCGCCCCTGCCCCGCACGTCCCCCCTGCTGTGCCACCCTCCCAGCACCTGACCGGCAGCCTCCCGCCCCGCTTTCTTCGCCGCTGCCCGCAGACCGCACTCCCACCAAGGGCCAGGCGGTGGCGTCGCCGCCTGCGGGCATCCGCGCGCTGCCACTGACACCCGTCGGCACCTCTGCGCCATCAGACCTGGGCGGCCAGTTTGCTGCTGCCGCGGTGGCAGACT